CAGCCTGTTTCTATGCTAGTACCATGCAGTTTTCATTACTGTTTCTCTATAGCACAGCTTGAGATCAGGGATGGAGATCACTCCAGATGATCTTTTATTGTAGAGGACTATTTTGGCAATTCTGGGTTTCTTGTTATTCCATATGAAGTTGATAATTTTTCTTTCAAGGTGTATAAGTTGGGTTTTTTTCAGCTCTAACTTATAGGAAAAATCAGTTTAAATCTTAAAAAAAAAAAAAAAAAAAAAGAAGCCAAACTAAATAAATCCCCAATAGGCAGGTCTTCGATACAGTATAGTCTCAACGTTTACTATCTATTTTTAAAAGATGCTTAGAAATAGCAATCTATTTTCTCATAAAAACAAGTTTTAGGGGAGGAAGGCAGCCAGGTCGGGCACCACTGTAAGAGAATGGTGACAGAGAGATGGGAATGATGAAGGAACAGAACAGTGAGTGTGCTGTGGAAAGGGCTGAGGTCAACCCTGCCCTCAACAAGCTGCTATGGGATCACCCTAGCTCTGGGCAATATGAGGAATGGTCCACTTTCTAGACTGGACTTCCCCGAAGGACCGCTGTGTCCCATGCTGCTGCTGAGGGCTATGTGTTGGTCAGTGGCCCTGATGTGGCTGGGGTCTGCACTGATGTCCAAAGACCATGTTATCACCTGACGACACGCAGCTGTTCATGGTCTGTGCCATGGCCTGATCCAAGGTCCTACTGTAGCCAGGGTCTGAGTTGATATCCGTGGCCTGGGTTACCACTGAAGGCCAAGGTCATATTTCACTCTGTCTTGCCACAAAGGGCCATATATAGGTCTATGGTCTTATTGCAGCTAGGTCTGTGTTGATATCCATGACCTATGATACCACGGAAGGCCATACAGGTGTCCAAGGTCCATGGTGCAGCCTGATGCCATATTGATGTCCATTGGTAAGGACCTTATCTGGGTTCATTGCCCTATGCAACTGGGAACACTGTTTGTAGCTGTGCTGACGCCATGTGGAAGTCTGTAATCCACGCTCCCTTGGTCCATAAAGAGCAAATGAGCTACTTTTGCAGTGAGCTCAAAGACTGCAGATGAACAGTTAAGAAAGCAGGACATGGAAGACTCCCGTGACACCCTACTACTACCCTCAAAGCAGTTAACAGCCTAGACAGGAAACCATCAGAGAGAACTCTTTAAAACTGAGATAGGACACTAGGTGTCACCTTACACAGCAGATGACTTCCAGCAGGGATGCAGAAAGGAAAAGACTCAACTCTATTCAGGGGGAAAGCCAATGAGGGTTTGACCATGTCAATGTGAGTAGAGAGAAAACACAAATTGGACTTTTATTTTTTTGGCTGGGGGGTAGGTCACAAGTGAAGGGGGGTCACAAAAAAACTGGGAAGTGAAGGGGGGCCACGGAAGGACTGGGAAGTGAATGTAATAGAGGTATATGATGTAAAAAACCACAAAGAATCAATAAAAATATTATGTTGGGGGAAAAAACCAAACAAATAAGTTTTAGGATCCTAAGCTAGCTTGTTTAAATATAGCCGAAATATAAATATACTTTGTGTTATATAACCATCTGCAGTCAAGACTAGAACGAAGAATCACTGAACTAAATGTTCAGGGTCTTACTTGGATGTGGACCTTTACCTGCCCTTCCACCTCCATCCTACCTGCATACTCCCAGCTTCAACAGCACATTCCTATAAGCTCTGGGAACAAGGATGGAGGCTAGGTAAACATGGCAGATGGAGCAAGAAACCTCGGCTTACCTATGTGACTTAAAATAGTCAAGGCACTGGGTGTAGGGAAAGAGGAAGGGTTCTTTTCTAACCTCTCTCTTATCTGTATTAAAGAAACCAAAGCAAAATAAAGACCAAAGAATAAAGGGGGAAAATTGCTGAATCATGAGGAAGCAACTGAATAAAAGTTTCCCTCCCGTACTCCTGCTTCCTAATGCACCAGAGTTACAAAAGGAGTTGTGAGAAAGCTGCTTTGACACAGGGTGACAAAGAACAGCAACTGGAGATAGGTGGGAGGGAGGCTGAGGAAGTGAAATGAAGTCCTTTCACTCAACTGTGTGTTCTTTAAAGATGCACGCCATTTCTTGCCCAACTCCGCACTCCTGACACACAGTAGCCAGTCAATAAATGTGTTGAATGAATAAATTTATCTAGCAGAGGCTATGATTCATTATGCAGAGGCCTCTTCATACCTGAAGGGCTTATTTTCTTAGCTGCTGAGAGAACTGCTGGCAGACAGCCCTCTTGGGAAACTGCTTCAACTGAAGACAGCCATCTTGGCCCAAGATCACACTTCTTCCTGTGGCAGCTGGAATATAATGACCTGGAATATAAAGGTCCAGTTTCCCTCATACAGCTTGAGACAACTCTGAGGAACCATGCCAGCTTGAGAGCTGCACTTGGGACTGCTGAAGTCTATCAAGGTCCATGGAGACTGGGCTTCATTCTCTGACATGGCAACGGGCCCAAGAAGTGTCTTCAGTAAACACAGTGCATTCTCGTTTCCATCTCAGCAGTCCCCTTTCAGGGGAACCCCACTACAGACTACAGTGCAAAAGAGACCTATATTTTAACCATGTAAGGAGGTGTACTTGACTTCATATTAAAATCAATAAATACACAAAGGCCTTACAAAAACAAAAGACCTAACTCTTGTGCCCAGCAATATCTACTTCAGTGACTTTAGCCATATAGATCTAGAAAAGTGCTCAATTAGTGGCAAGCTTCCCCAACTTCCATTCTGCCTATCTTAAGATTAAGGAAATAAAATATTAATTAACCACGAATGCACTGAGTATAAACACGGTATAAAGCAGAACAGAAAACAGCTGTTTTTCCTGTAGTGTTTGAGACCTACCTGGTGTATTAAGTATGATGCCTTAATTATGACTGCCATAGAAATGTAATGCTTATTATTTAAAATATGAAATTACAAATCATTACTATTTCACTACTACATTACTACTACTTGGAACTAATATAGCTCCACCCAATTTTAGGTTCAAGTAATGTCAACAACATAAGGGCTGTTGAGGCTCAGTCATTAGGTTGAGGTGCAAAAGTTATTCTAATTACCTGGTACTCTTTTTTTTTTTTTTTTTTAAACAGAAGACTACTCGCTGATTTAAGTGCTAGCATGACCAGCACTAACCACATTCTAATACAACTTAATAATTTGTGCTCACTTATAAAATGTGGGAGTGCTGCCAAAATGCATAGACAGCAATCTTAAGCCTCACTAAGAAGTGAAATGAGTGGACCATATATAGAAAAACATTCAAGCCCACACTTCCTGGAAGATGGCCCAGCAGACACTTTGCAGGTGTGCACATACTGTACTACTTTCAGGGATTAAGTGGGTTTTAATATTACGCATATGCATTTCAGAAAACACACCTGGATTGGAATCTTCTGCCCTGTGGAAATGAAAAAGGCAGAACAACACTGAGCACCAGCAGGCCTCTGGCCATATTATCTCACCATTATATGCTCTCTCTTTTTCTTTCCACAATACAAACATTAACTAAGTAATGCTGTGGGTATATGTTTTGGAAATCACAAGAGAACACTTAAAGATAATTGAAATAGCACACTGTGAAGAGAACCTGTGCCAGTAGAAATATACATTAATGTATTGTACCCAAAATTACTGTCAGAGTTTCTATAACTTGATCTACCCAAAGGTTTAATTCATTTAACTGTTACCTCTCCTATCATGGAGAACAACCATTACAAATCCCGTCTCGATTTCATCTTTTGGATAGTGTCTCTCTCTTTTTTTATAACTTTAATTTTAATTCATTTTACATCCCAGTCATAGCCCCCTCCCTCCTGTCCTCCTGGTTCCACCCTCCCTCCCTTTTTCCCCTATCCCTCCTCCCCTACTCCTCAGAGAAGAGGAGCTCCCCTCTACCCACCCATCCCAGTGTATTAATTTGCATCAGGACTGAGTGCATCCTCTTCCCCTGTGGCCTGAGGAGGCAGCCCTGCCAGGAGAAAGTGATCAAAAGCAGGCAACAGAGTCCATGTCAGAGTCATTCCCTATTCCCCTTACTAGGGATCCCATATGAGAACCAAGCTGCCATCAGTTACATCTGTGGGGTAGGGGGGTTAGGTCCAGTTCTTGCACAATCAGTCCTTGGTTGGTTTTTCAGCTTCCACAGCCTCGCCCTGCCCTGGTTGGTTGGCTATGTTGGTCTTCTCCCCTCTGGGTCCTTCTACCCTTCCTTCCACTCTTCCACAAGGCTCCCTGTGCTCCACCCAATGTTTGCTTGTGGGTCTCTGCATCTGTTTCCAACAGGTACTGGGTGGAGCTTCTCAGAGGACAGTTTTGCTAGGCTCCCACCTGCAAGCATAGCAGAGTATTGTTGGGGTTGGCTGTCTCCCATGGGGTGATTCTCAGGTTGGGTGAGTCATTGATTGGACATTCCCTCAATCTCTGTTTTATTTTTGCCCCTGCCCTTCTTGTAGGCAGAATAAATTTTGGGTCGAAGTTTTTGTGGGTGGATTGGTGTTCCCCTCCTTGGACAGGGATTTCTCCGTGACAAGCTGGGCCCTAAGACAGGGTAGGCTCCAGGGAGGATATGAGGGTGACTCTAGCTGAGACTCCTAGGTAACAGCGGTCATGAAGGCTGAAGAGGCCATCCTCTAACTAGTGTCTCTTCTTATAAAAATGTTTAAATATCAGCTGGGGCTGGAGAGAGCACACACACACACACACACACACACACTATTTTATAATAAATTTTTAAAAAATAAATCAGAAGTAATATTACCTTCATATATAATAGTGTAGTTTTCAAATTCTTGTCAAAATAAAATTAAATTAGCTTGTGAGTCATTTTATTTTTCTTAGATGTTTTAAAAGGCTAGTCTGCAGTTATCTAGAAGAGCAGTTCCCTGATCCTTCTTGAACTATACAGTCACCTCTTAAATTGTATGCTATGTGTGGAGTCTGAGATACATCCAGCCTTTGTCAGCTTACCATGGACATTTCCTAGTGCAATATCCCCAGCAGCAGAAGACAGAAAGGAAGAGTCTGTATAAAGATACTTGGCTTGAAGCAAACCATCCTCCGTTGATATATTAACACAACTTCCCTGAAGTTTATCTATGGTCACGGTCTATTAAAAGAGAGACCATAATCAGTTCATTATAAAGCGCACTGAAAACAACCAAAACAGTTCATCTAGAATGGTGGTTCTCAACCTGTGAGTTACGACCCTCACAAGAGTTGCGTATTACATGCCCTGCATATTAGATATTCACATTACAGTCCGTAACATAGCAAAACTACAGTTCTGAAGTTGCAATGAAATAGTTTTACGGTTGGGGGTCTATATGAAAGGGTCCCAGCATCAGAAAGTCGAGGACCACTGATCTAGAGTGAGTAGTACACAATGACCTTGACAACTGACTCCCTAGCTCTAGCTGCAAGACTGTGAGCAGCACACATTCTCTGTAGAAAGGAATGTAGAGCTAATATCCACTTTCTCCGTGCATTTATGCCTGCTTTAGTTTCTCTAAACAATGTTTTTTTTCTATGTAGAATTTATCTTATTAGTTGATTCCTGTCAGGTTTTTTGACGCTTTTTTGTTTTATTTTGTTTTGGTTTTCAAGACAGGATTTCCCTGTGTAACTCTGGCTATCCTCAAACTCAGAGATCCGCCCGCCTCTGCCTCCCAAAATGCTGGGATTACAGGCATGCAACACCAAGTCCAAACCTGTTAGATATTTTTAAAGTGCTATTACACAGTGTCTCCTAAAAGTTCATGCTATCTTGGCTTTTATATTTGACCTTTGTCCAGCAAGCACAATAAATTCAGTAATTGCAATAATTTATATGTATTAGAAAACATTCCACATGCATAACTGTCTCCAAATGATCACTCAATTTCCTCTTATAATGATATTATTTTCCTTATATTAATTATATTCTCTGTGCTTCTTTTCATTCTTTTTATTACATTTGGCTCCATGTTTCAATGCAACAGTGAATAGCAGCAACTAGACTGTTTTTCTCAAAGGGAAAGTGGACAGCAGCTCAGCAGGGAGCCTGAGGCTCACTGCAGATGATGTCTGATATCTTTTATCTGACTAAATAATCAAATGTACTAGTATCTCCATATAAATTCATGAGTGTATTTTGAGTTTCACGTACTTTGATTCTGCTGAGCTACACAGCTTATCTCACATGTTAATGTGTTAACTATAAACTTCTAAAACTTTTCCACTTTCCATTTAATAAGGTGGTAGCTTTCCAGTAAATATAATGAAAGGACTTTTATATTTATCCTTAAATTTCCCTAACAAAATTCAGTATGTGTTTATGTTTCAAATACTGTCCACTTTGTAAAACGAAGATAGCTATGAGTTCCACGTCATCTCTACCGTGTTATAAATATGTGTTACCATGAAAGGGCTGGCAATTGACACCCAATGAACTAGGATGGCTTGCCACAATTCTGCCCAGGGACAATTTCAAGTAGTACACTGGGGTATTTAAACAAACAGTATCACCGTTGCTGAACACACCGACATCAGCATTGTCCCTTCTCACACATTTCCCAAAAACTGTTAAGAATGGTAACAAATGTTATCAAACAAGATCGAGTTTCAAGAACAAAACACTAAAGACACCAGTACAAAATGATAAAGAAGAGGGCTCACGGGGTCTTATGAGGCATTAAGTAAAACTACTTTCCTGTCTGGAGTCACAGTATGCAACTTTCTAATTTTCTGCATTTTTTTTTTTTTTTTTACAAAATACATAATATTGCTTTTAACTACTTGTTTATCTTTAGTTAATTAAAGACTGAGAGGGACTTTTACTTTAAGCTTAGTTTCAACAAATCTGTCAAAATCAAAAAAGCATTTTCATTATAAATGGATTTGCCAGAATATAAATGTTTTATCTTTCACAGGCTTACAGTAAAGGCATAAAACTCCTGACCAAAAAAAAAAAAAACAAAATCTACCTACAAAGTCTCCTCATGAAAATTTGTTTTGTATTCATGGTTTCATACTCTCCAAGAATTTCCATAAAAAAGTCAACAAAATGGCTCATTTTGGCCTTTCAATAGAGAATGGAGCTATTTTATGGCACACCAAAAGATGAATATTAAAAAAAAAAAAATTTGAAACATGGCAAATTAGCTAAGGAGCACTTCTCAGATTCTGCCCACCAACACATTAAATAAAGCTGGATTTCAAGGCACTCTTTATGAGCATTTAGAAAGAGCCAAGGATCTGTGCTGTTCATTAACAACTAACTAAGTCCCGAGGAAGCCAGAAAACATGCTGTACTACCAAAGCAATGCAACCCCAGCACACACCAACAGAATATAGCTGTCAATCATTCCATACAATTTCCAAGAAATTCTAAAATCTCAAGGGCCAGATATCCTGAAGCCTATCAGATACTAACTCAAGCAATAATTCTCGGTTAGCACAGTCGACAGCAGAACATTAATACATCTATTTATAGCCATAATATTAGTGGATAGATGTCACATGTAGACATCTAGATTATTCGTATACTCTGATTTTTAATAGAAGTTATTTAAAGAGAGAACAAAAAGTGGTTCAAAAACCAAATACCTTCCCGAGAGGTGTTGCTAAAATTAATTTTTACATAAGGAGCGTTTTTTCCCCTACACTTAGTTATTATAAATATAATATACAGTTCTTACAAGTAACAGAAATCAAGTCTTCAGGAAGTACTTGACTCTTTAGTATACATAAAAAGAACGAAAAAGTGGCAGCTGTGTCACCAGTTCAACCTACAGTCACACGAAACGGATGTCTATGTTCTGCGAAGTTGTAGAGACTGACTCTGAAATTAGTATCATTGAAAACAGTCCATTTAACTGTCATTATCTTGTTTGCTGGGTGAGCAGGGCAACACTCCCATCCAGTTCTCCAGCAGTGAGAAGCAGTTCCGGGAAGTGAGGCGCTGGCTAGCTCTCCTGCGGCTTGCCTCCCGTTCTCCTCCCTATCAGCAAGCCCTGGGTCACTCAGCCACAGCATGGCCTCATATTGGCACTGTCATCCTCCCAACAATGTTCTGCGATAAGTCCATTGCTATCACCCCGTTTTCCAGAAAACGGAGACACACAAAGATTCAGTGACTTGTCTAAAGTTACAGAACTTGTTTTAAAAAAAAATGGTTGGGTCAGAAGTTTAATTCTCAATGTGTGCTCTTAACCAGTAAGTATTTTATGTTTTTAAACAAACTTTCAAATACGTTTTAAAAGTTAACACTACATGAGGAAAATAGAAAAGTATCTATACTAAGTCTTTTGTACATTACCCCACTCAGGCAAGAAACACTACAGTTTAACAGGAAGTAGGAGTAAAGGAATATTCAATTACCCTTAACAGAACAATCAATAAACTGATGTCAGATTACTCAAAATAGCATGATTTAAACTTCTGAGACTCATGTAATATGTAATATGGTTCCATCAATACAGTATTTGCCAGTCAAGCACGGGATCCCCAGGACCCATGGGAAAACCTAGTGCCACAAGTTTAGAATTCCTGTGCTGGGAAGATGGAGACAGACTGATCCCTTGTTGCTCACTGGATGGCCAGTCTAGCCAAAATCCACAAAAGCACTGTCTCAACTAACAAGGTCACTAGGAATGGTGGTACACACCTTTAATCCCAGCAAAGACAGGTGGACCTCTGAGTTCAAGGCCTGGTCTACAGACTGAGTTCCAGGACAGCCAGGGCTACCCAGAAGTCCTGCCTCAAAAATCAACGAACCAACCGAGAAAACAAACAAAAAAATCAAGTTGGAAAGCAATTGAGAAAGAACCTTTCCTAGTTTAATTTAAAAGGTTTATTATGTATTTAAATATTAGGTTTAAACAGCTTCCCACAGATTCTAAAAAAAAAGTGATGGGAGGTTAAGCATAGCAGAAACATCCACCTCGCTTAACTAAGTACCAGCAAAGTGCCAGGGGATGGCTCACTGGGAAAGGCAGCTGCTGCCAAGCTTGGCAGCCTCAATTTCATCACTAGGTTCATAACCTTTACCATCCGATTTAGATTTTTTTTCTTACAAGATTTAAAACACTATTCATCACAGTAGCAACTAAAAATTCATAGTCCCAATTTAAAAAATACAAACCATCTTTCTGTAACAACAAATCTCTATGGCAACAATCTGAGGGGCTGTATGCAGATTTGGAGGACAGTACCTTTATCTCACAGTGCCACCTTGTGGAAATGCTGATGAGGAGAACTTTCGAAATGGTTTTAAATTTTTATATTCACTGAGTATATAATGTATTTTGAGCATCCCAACTGCTCATCCCACCTCTACTTCAGCCCAGAGGCCCCCTGCTGTCTTGTTTCCTCTTCCAACATCATGCCCTCTTTTCAAAACCCATGAGTCAAATCAATGCTGTCCACAAATGCAGGGACATTTCAGAATTTACCTTTCGGTTAGCCATAGAGCAGCAGGTCTAGGAGAACACAGTATTCAAGTAAACCCAGAACCTAAGAAAAATCCAATCCCTTTACTCGTAGTATTACTTAATGAGGTATTTTAATTCATAGCCATGAAAATAAAAGCCTTTCTTTGCGAGTCAGAATTAAATATTAAGTGTTTACTGATTCAAACAAACTAAAGAACTATCAAAAGCATTTTATCACACTAAAATTCAGTTCCAAATATCAACTTATTAAATAGCTAAATAGAAAATATTACAACAAATTCTGTAGAAGCTACTGTTTGTGGGGAATCAAAAGAAAGCTGAAGTTACTGAAAGAGTTTCAACCTTACACTTTTGTTGGATGCATGAATATCTATGTTTCCATAAACTGTTCCGAGACAGATCACATGGCCTCCTTTTGTTTGAACATGTAAATTGTGACCCTGAAAAACAAAAAAAAAAAAAAACACAGAGGCTAGGGAGAGTAGGCTTGCATGATATTAAGGAAACATTTTCTTCTGTGCCTGTCCATAAAATAATCCAGGAATCCGTTTTAAGGAAAGCCCTGAAAACAGCAAAACAAACTGTTCTCAAAAGGATTTGCCTTCCAGTGTAATTAACTTCATCATGATCACAGACATGAATCTAAAAACCATGTTATTAATGAATTTCTAGAAAGACCCAGTTCCAAATAACTCTGCTTTCAGATATAAAGTGAACTTAAGTGAATTTCTGGAGTATCTCTGAAATTATGAAGTTGTAGGCAAATCTTCATACACATGTTCATGTGTTATTTTCTTTTCTTTTTTTGTGTGTTATTTTCTTATGAGAAAAAAAAACATGAGATTTTTTTTTTTTTTCAAAGAAGCCTAAGGCATAAAGACAATGAGCTACTGTTATAATCTGAAGCTCACCTAATTCCCACACATGGAAAACTTTAAAATGTGAAAATAAATCAGAAATTATGGGGGAAATTATCGTGCTACATTTTTTAAGAATACAAATGTGTGACATTCAGTTACTTTATTTCTTAAGGATGCTGGATAAATGCGGCATTAATATTTGTCTTAAGTGAATAAAGAGAGCTAGGAAGACTTTATGCTTGGAAACCACAAACTCAAGTTCAAAACCCAGCTCAATTACTTTAGCTTAGTGACCTTGAGTGAGTTCCTTGGTCTTTTGGTGTCTCTTAGTTTCCATTCTTGATAAATGAAGATGCTCGAAGGCTTAACAAGGCTTAGCTGAGATTCTCAGTACAAACTTACAATTCATTAACAGTAATTACTGTTATTAAAACACTATTTTATACATGTGTAACCCCTTATGTATGATGTTAAATAAGTGAAAGATAGACATTAACAGATGATCACTAATTCAAGATAATATTTACCACGTTTTTAAAAATCTAAGCCAGATATCTTACCAAACTGTCTGCATTTATGTAAGTTAGGTCAGGCCAACACTGCAAGAATAATTCTCTTAGTATAAGACTGATGTCTTAACTTTGTTTCTTGGCTGCTATGATAAAACTCTGACTAAATATTGGAGAGGAAAGAGTTTACTTGGATTATAGATTACAGCCCATCAAGGAAAGCTGAGGCAAGAACCTGCAGCAGAAACTTGAGCAGGGCATGGAGGAGGGCTACTTACTAGTTTGTTCAGCTTGCTTTCTTATGTAGCCTAGGACTACATGCCTTGGGGGGGGTACTGCCCACAGTAGGCTGGGCCTCCCACATCAATCCTTAATCAAGAAAATGCCCAAAAGACCTGCCTAAAGGTCAGTCTGATAGTCAATTCTTCGATTAAGGCACCCTCTTCACAGAGGGCTTTAATCTGTGTCAAGTTGCCATATACTAACCAGAAGAACTATTACTCTAATTCTAATTCTTCTAATTCTTTATTTATAAAGACTACTAGTTCAAAGCTTTATTTTCTCTTAACAAGTCTTCCACAAAACAAATAAAAAATACTTTAAAAATAGAATTAAACTCTTTCTTGAAGTTACTGAAATTAATTCACCAAAACTGAAGCATCATTGAGCAAATAAATATTACTAAGGAAGAAAATAAATTACAGTATTCTTAGCCAGTTAGTTATTCAAGATGAAGACTTTATTGTGTAATATTTTAATAAGAACCTAAACTTAATTATATGATAAAAAGGCCATCTGGGGTATTCTTAATCTTTTATGGCGTTTGTACAACTAAATTCTTTTAAGCCTCTTCATCTGTAGACAGGTAGGAAAAGAAGACATGCAGACAAAGATGGACAAATAAATGAGGTTAAAAACAGAATGTGTCAGTCATTCTAATTAATGTTTTAAAGCACTGAAATTACAACACAAAGATGACCAAGTTCAACAAAATGTGTCAAAGCACTGTGTTTCAACCCTGCAAATGCCATCGCAATTAGAAATAAGAGCAACCTCCCTTACAGAGTATACTTTAAAACATCTATGGCTAAGGCTAATTTCAATTTAAGAAAATGGAATGTAAAAATGTAAATCATAAAATAAGACAAATCATCTGTTGCTCTGAAAAACTGGCTGCCTAGTCCTCCAGTAAAGAGCTTCGGTATATTGAAAATGTCAGTGAAATTGCCATATATTTTAAATACAATTATAGTATATAACTGGTATAGTACATATATAGTCCAGTTAGAGTTCAAAGCTTTCTTTGTTCTTTAATAAGTAGAAGAAAATGTTGCAAAAACTAAGTTTTCTTTTTTTTTTTTTTTAGTTTTATAGTATCTCAAAATCCTAAAAATATACTTTGAAGTTTCACTACACTTTGAAATGAAGTCTATAGTAATAATAATAATTATTACTATTATAACAATATGTTGTTATTGTTATGTAAGACTTTAAAAGTTGCTACAACACTTATGCTTTTAAGGCAAAATTTTTTCCAAAGCTCTCTAAATGATAATAATATGAATAACAAATTAAACCTTGTAGTTTGATATTGTACTTTCTAGTAAGGTGTTTCTGCAGCTGGAACAAAGTTAGAGACACACTCATACCATCACAGACTGCAATATGCTGCTCCCCTGCTCAGTGTCAATTTTACAGCTGTTACATTCAATATTCTGCACTTTTACAGAGCCAGATCCTGATGACTCGATATTCAAATCTAGAACCAAAAGCAGAAAGAAGGAAAATGTCAGTGCCGAGGCTCAGAGCATTTTTAGATCTCCTGGATACCCAGATCCTCAGGGATTCACGGTAGTACTGAGTTGGACAGAGAGCTTTACCAAGGCAGCAGGATCAATTGCGGGGCCTTTCTGACAGTTTTATAAATTATCTCATGGCTTCTACCATCTAAAGAGCGAAACTACCACAGCTGGGATGGCCATTCTTATAGGTGCGTACTCACTGTCTCACGTGGACTACCTTAGACGCCCTGTCCTATCGAAAGAATACACACAAATGACTAAGGATACAACAGTGAATTAACAAGTCATCAAATGCCAGGTAAGTCACTTAGCCTTTCTCATATTCCAGAAGATTTGAAATACTGATCCCCTAAAAAAAAGCATATTACAATAGCATGGATCACAGTGTACATGATCATGACCTAGGCTTTCAAATTCTACTCTAGTCTTTTATAAAACCAATGTGGGAATATTACCATGTACATATATTACAACATACTTGAAGTAAACCAGAACCATGTAAAAACACACACACACACACACACACACACACACACACACAGTGATAAGAAGAACTAAAGCTAAATTATTGTGGATAAGTAAAAGTGTGTTTAAAGAAAATTTGAAAATAGGGAATGACGGGTGGTATTCTCAGCCATAATTTAAAGTGTTATCTTAGATATCTCCTTATGAAAACAAAATAATTGCTGGGCACTTCGGTGCAAGCCTTTAATCCTAGCATTTAGGAGGCAGAGGCAGGTAGATTTCTGAGTACAAAGCCAGCCTGGTCTACAGTGAGTTCTAGAGCAGCCAGGGCTCTGTAGAGAATCCTGTCTCAAACAAACAAACAAACAAAACAAGAATTAAAAACAGTGACAAAGAATATGCAATTGCATTAATATTAATGATTTCCTGTAAGCTAGAGTTCAGAAATAAATACCACTGTCCTATTACTGCTGCTGTAATGAAACACTGACCGAGGCCGTTTTTTGACATAAAGGGTTTATCTCATAGCTTACAGTCCATCAGGAAGGGAAGTCAGGGCAGGAACTGAAGCAGAGATCAGAGAGGAACACTGCCTTGCTCTCCACGATTCTCTCTGCTTGCTTCTTTGTACAACCCAGGGCCAGTCACACTGGCTTGGGTCCTTCCACATCAATCATTATCAAGATATGTTTCTCAGACTTGCCTATAGGCCAGTGTGACAAAGGCATTTTCTCAACTGAGGCTCTCTAGCTTGTAGCAAGCTGACAAAAAAAACTAACCAGCACAATTAAATTGACTATGTAGATCCAAGGGGCCTATGGGACAGAGGCAAGGAGACAGCACACTGGAAACCGGCTGCTGCCTCTAAAGGAAGCAAAGATGGAATCTGGGATCGCCAGCTGAGGTAGTAGCCATCCTCAGAGGTGCTGCTGTAAGTTTTGCTCCTCTTTGCTGCCCATCTTATGCTGGATAACTGTGATAACGCCCCACAGCACCTTCAGGTTATCATTACACTGTCCACTTCCGCTATTTACCACGCTTCCTTCATCTCAATTCCCTCATCAGAATGCTGACAAGGGCATCTACTCTACAGAGCAACTGTAAGGTTAATAAAAATGATCTTTCTGTAATAAAACAAAAGTTAAAAAATTCTTTTTTAATTTTGATATTTTTTTTCACAATTTATTCATTATATATCCCGACTGAAGCACCCTCCCTCCCCCTTCCCCTAGTCCAATGAAAGGGGGAGTTCTCCTCCCCTACTATCTGACCCTAGCCTATCAAGTCTCATCAGGACAGTCTGGATCATCTTTCTCTGTGGCCTGGCAAGACTGCATTGCCAGAGGCAAGTGATCAAAGAGCAGGCAATCGAGTTCATGACAGAAGCAGCCAAAAATATGTTTTGCAGGTACTATTACGAATTTTTCCAGGCAGTCTTAACTAAGTGTCTTGCTTCAGAGCTGGCTACACCCAGAGAATTTACTTATGCCTAAAGGAATGGACACCCACTAGCCTGGGCGCCTGTCGGAAAGCTAGTATTTTTTTCTAGGTTAGGGATGAGGGACACGCAGAGCTGATTAGGGACAGAATCCCGAGACGTGAACAATGTGGACTACCAAACCCTGAACAATGAACCATTTTACTCATAGGTGTGACAAAAAAGAACACAGGAGCTCCACGATGTAGTCGCATTTAGATTATTCCAATTCGGTTTTAATTTTTCTCCTTAATTAGGAACCTAACGCTTAAATTCCATTCAGGAACCCAGGAGCGTTGCTTTAGAAAAGGAGAGGTCCGGAAAGGGCCAATTAGCTGGGAAAGTAGGGTGGAAAGAAGCCCAGTCTAAAACGCGTTTTCACTTCACTTGCCAAACTTGACGGGTGCGTTCACCTCCACGGACGCCTGGGGGTCGATGTGGTCTGACAGGATGACCGTCTCCTGTCGAGCAGCGTCGTACACGACCTGCAAGCTGTCCAGGCCGCTCGCAACGCCGCACACCGACACCTGCACGCGGTCGGCATCGGGAAACGCGAGGGGATCCAGGGGCCTCACGGCCAGGTGACACGGGAGCCGTGCCCGCAGCCGCCCGAACGGGCTCACCTGCAGGCTCCACCGCCGCCGGGCCCCGCGCGCCAGGCAGGCCCCACGGTCGTCGGGCACGGGTCCCCGCAGCCCGGCCCCGCCGGAGCCGCGCGTCCGGGCTCCCACAGCTGCCAACCGGGAGCCCGGCAGCACTCGGTACCCGCGAGGCGGGAGGCGGCCGAACATGCCCTCGGCCTCGGGTCAGTCACGAAGACAATCAATGCCTGCGCGGCTCCGCTCAGGGAGAGCCAGCCAGGACCCAGCACAGTCCTGCACGACTTATTTCTCGGCAGCCAAACAAACCCGGTAAAAAATGAGAACTTCAAAGCGCCCCGTTGAAACCTTGACCCGGACTCTTCCCCCCCCCCATTTCCGCCCCCTTTTGCGGAGGCCGCCGGGATATGTAGTTCTAAAGAAGCCAAACATCAAAGCGCTATGCCGGCGTTGAAACTACATATCCCATGAGGCGGTGCGATGAATAGATTCAGTGACAAGAGCCGATTGGTTGAGGAGCGTCCTCGTTGCTTCAATTCCATTGGGCAAGGAAGCACAGAGAAAAAAAAAAACTTAATCCAACTGACCAATGGAAAGAGTGGAAGGTGCAGGCTCAACAGTAGTGTGGTTACCTTGGATACCGAGGACGCGGCTCGTTAGGAGAGGGTGGAGTTTTGGAGTGAGACCACAGAGACCAAAACCCACTGAGAAAAATAAGAGTCTAAATAAGGATCAGGACCGAAAAAAAAGGGTAAGAAACATCATGTGTACAGATGGGAATTAGATGCAAAGTTAGGAATACCCTCTTTAGGTAGCTGGAACCAAACTTCACCAAACTAATGCTGGGTCCGCTGGAAACAGAAAATCCCTTGGGCAAAGTAACAGACCCATTCTGTTGCTTCTTTCCTTCTCCTTCTTTTTTATTAGGTAGAAAATACTATATTAAAAAAGTTAGAATCCTGGCTCTTTCCCAACTGTAAGTAACCTTAGGCCAGTCATTGGGTGCCTTTGGATTTCACTATTTGCTTGTAAAATGACAGTATCTTCCTTCCCTTGCTTTGAAGTGTTTTTACAAATATCAAATGAACAACAAACAGCAGAGCCATGTACAGTCTACAAACAATTAAAATGCTATTTTATGAATGACATAAGTTGCCAAGAGATTTTGAGACATTTGAACCTGTTTAGAAAAAAAGTATAAATCTCTTTTCCTGCAAATGATCCTTGGTCTTAATGATAAAATCTCTCTCTCTCTCACTCTCATAACACTTGTTAGGGGTTGTTTCTTCAGTCTTGATATAAATATAGATGGTACTAAATAACTCCATAAGGCTTTTTTTCTTTTTGTTTTTAAGTAGGAAGTAAAAATAATGGAAATTGTGGGGGCATGGGCACTATTTCAGCCTTACTTGTCTCCTTCCTCTACCGTCTGCAAATAACTCCCTAAATTCCTTATGTAGATTTGTAGATTCCTTATGTAGATAGGTAGATTTGATTGAATGTAAGTTCTATGTGGTGGTGTTCAATAGTACTCATCCAGCATTTGGGAAGCTGAAGCAGAAGAATCCCAAATCCGAGGTCCATCGGCTGCATAGTGAGAACTCTGTCTCAAAATAAAATAAAATAGTACCTTTAAAGATTGAAGTCCTTAGCCAAACATGATGACCCCAATTCTTGGAACCTGAAGTAATAGAGAGACAGGTAGACTGGGATAAAGGTCTCACCGGTCTCCATATTATTCTTTTAGTGAAGACTATTGTAGTGGCATTGGCAGCGCAGCAGCCCAGACTTGCTGTCCAGCATCCTGCGAAGTCCCCTTAACCTTTAGGGACTGCCACTGAGTTAAAGTCTATCCTTGACTTTGCTTCAGAAAGTGGTGGGATGAGGTAGTGTGAAAGGGGGTTGATTAAAACGAGATTCTAAACACAGATTCAAGCAGCACGGGGTTTGATAGAGGTGGCTGATCGCTCAGGGACAGGCATAGACTTCTGAAAGGAGAATATGCCCTAAGTGTCTTAGACTAGCCCTACAGATCCACTTTTGACGACCCTCAAGTTACACCTCAAAGGATTTCTAAGAAACATGTTTAAAACCTTTTCTCTCTTTTTTCAGTGAGATTCTAGGATGGCCTTAGAGGTGTCTCGAGTTGGATTACAGTTCTAAAATAAAACCATGTGTCCAAAGAATTATAGAAGGGGCTTAAGGTGTGTCCTTTACTATAAATAGGGTTTCTGGTGAGATTCCTGAAAAATTTCTGGTTTGTAACCAAGAAAGAACAAAGGCCGCCTATGTTTAGGTCTTAAGCTTGATTCATTGCTACTTCAACGTTCATGGACAGCAGAGGGCATAAGAGCTTTCAGGAGAAAATGTAATCAGACAGAGGATTAAGTAATTCAGTTAAACGGAGGGAAGCCTTGGGACTGTACTCACTTTCTGAGTTACGAATTATTTGAAAACAAACATCTCCTGTGGTTTCTGTTATTCTTTTGGGATATTACTATACTAAAAAAAAAAAAAAAAAAAAACTAATAACTATCACTTCTGAGAAGCTTTTAGCGGATATGGTAGGTAGACCTATTTGAAATCTCCATGTGAAACTACAAGTTCAGGCACTTTGATGCTCCCTTGTGATTTTTTTTTCTTGTGCTACTGTGCTGGCTTAACACCCCTGTTAGACTGCACTGAGTGGTGACAATGAGCTCACCGTCACAGGCAACCTCGAAGTCTGCTGCAGATTCTTCAGATGCCCCTGATGTTGAATTCCTCGTTTACTTTTTATTTGAGTGATATCGTATTTTAAATGATTTTCTGTATGTAAGATATATGCAGTCTTTTTGAAATGTATTGCTGTGCTATCTCACAATAATTAAATATTTTCATTCCCTAGATGAACTTTGTTTGATCATGTTGTTATTGTCTCTGTATAAGTTGGTAGATTCAACTAATGGTTTGTAAGGGATTTTCTCATTTTATGTTTATATGAGTTATTAGTCGGACATTTTCTTGGACACGCTTTCTTTTTTTTTAGGTATCAGGGTGAATTAGGAAGGGTTCCATCTTTTTTTTGAGATACTCGTATGGTTAATTGGTATCGTGGTTTAGTTTTATTTGTTTTGCTCAAAAGTAAATGTGCTTTTTTATGTGACGTCTTCAATTTACAAATAGTCTTTCCTTATTTCTTTTTCTAGTTTGGGCCACTCTTATTCATATATAAACGGATTTTTCATTCTCTCATTTATGCACCTTAGCTGTATTTACATCCTGTGCATCGTTTTCATTCTTTGTACGTTATTCCGGATGATGTGCTCAAATCTGTGTTCAAATCTGCTAATTCTTTCCTAAAGATGAAAGACAGCTGTTAGGAAGTAGATGCGGGACTAGAGAGATGGCTCAGCAGTTAGGAGACTTGCTGCTTTTGCAGAGGTCCTGGGTTGGATTCCCAGCATCCACCTGACAGCTCACAACCATCTGTAACTCTTTCATCTTTAGGGGCTTGATTTTGTTCTTCTACAAATATGCTTGCTCTATAAAATTGCCCTGTGTATTATAGGGTTTTTTTTTTTTTTTTTTTTTTTTTTGCCTCAATTTTGCCTCTTTTAACTATTCTAAAATTCAGTCTTTATGGTGCATACTGATTGCCAATTGCTGTTGCTCTTTGTTGGTCTCCCTCTCATGGTACTTTATTTCCTGTCCCAATCTCTAAATTTTTAAAATTTTTATTGATCTCTCATCTCCAGTGGGAGTTGTCTGTTGTGAAAATCCTTTCAAATCTAAGTTATGATAATTCTCTCCAGGATGGTGGATATCAGCTTTATTCAGAGCCTTTCAATTTCTGTGGTCATGGGAAAGATTTTAATTTTTAACCATCTTATTTATATTTAAGTTGTATCTTTTTAAAATAAAATAGCTCATTCAGAGAGAATATATACGTAAAGGATAAGGTGCAAAGAATCATATAATGAAATGCCAAATATCAGTTCAAACATTAAGATGCTCTCATTGTATTTTTTTTTCCTTATTTGTCTTGTGGCTGTCATATTGAGGTGGCTGAACAGAGATCCATGATTGCTTTTGTTCTCTTGATCCTGCCCCAAGGTCGGCTCCACTCAAATTTGCACTGGTGCTGTCAGGTCATGCACCCAAGAATAAGACACCAAGCCTTTAATAGCTAAACAGGGTGTGTGTGTGTGTGTGTGTGTGTGTGTGTGTGTGTGTGTGTGTGTTAGGAGTGAGAGCAGGTGTGTGTGTGTGTGTGTGTGTGTGTGTGTGTGTGTGTGTGTGTTTGCATTTTCTTCCAATGTAAAGGTAGGAAAATTGGGCTGGTAGAATATTCTTCTAACCTTGTGATTGATAAGCCTGAGTCCTCTGGAGAAACTAGATTGGGTAAGAGGTGCTACACCCACCGAGGGGGACTAATGTGTAGGTCCACTTAGGGTGTGTGGAAACAGGATCTACTTACTTAACCAGAAAGGGAGGCTGTGAAATACATCCACTTGGGAGAGGAACTGATCCACTTCACTTACTTTGCTCCCTGACCTGGAGCTGATGAAGGACTTTTTAAAAGGTGCGCGTTGCTCTCTTTCTTTTTCCTCAATGCCCAGTGTCCTACACAATCCTAATCCTTTATTGAGATCTTAAGTGTAATTTGAAGATTAAAACCTCCCATTGTAGTTTGCTCTGCTTTCACGCTAATAGTTGATTAGGGCTCTGGGTTAAACTCACTCTAGAAAGAACCAGTTCATATAACTTATGTATTACTGAAACATTTGGTCCAGCTGTCAGAATAATTAAAGGGGCATCGTATACAAAAGACGAAAGGATCAAACAGTGGTGGATGGACACTAATGTTTGTGGAGGGGTATCTGCTGTGCTTTGGGCTGTGACTTCACAGGCATTGGTCCATTTCGCTGTCACAGTACCATCAAACCATTTGCAACTTATGGAACAGCTCGAGGTCAGACAGGAAGGGAAGAATTTGGATTGATGTCTAAACAGTTTTCATCCTGGGAGACTAAAGTGGTGAATCCCAGGCTGTGTAAAGTAAGGAGGAAGAGCAGGAGGAGGAGAAGGAGGAGGAGGAAGGAGCAGTCATCTATTGCAAGAGCCCAAGAAGAAAGGGACTTGCCAAGACCATAGGGAAAATCTTTAAAGATTTATTTTTTTAATTTATTCACTTTACATCCTGATTGCAGCCCCCTTCCTCTCCTCCCAGTCCCCCCTCCCACACCCATCCCCCATTCCCCCCTTTCTTTCTCAAAATTATACGTATGAGTGTGTGCTTATGTGAGTTTATGGACACACATGCATGCAAGTGCCTATAGAGATCAGAAGAAAGTGATGTATTTCTTGAAACTGGAGTTACAGGAAGTTGGAAGCTGCTTGATGACCAAACCTGGGTCTTCTGCAATAGCGAGCTTTTAACTGCTGAGCCATCTCTCCAGATCCATGGAAAAAGTCTTAAATGAGATATAATATGAATGGATATGGGCTGTGAGCTTGGAGATAGTTTTAGTAAGTCCTGTTATTCGTGCTGATCTTGGGTACATCTTCTACCCTCTTTGAATTTCAAATTCCTTCTCTACAAAATGGAGATGATTTGTGTGCTATATCGTTGTTGCTAGAATTAGGGGAAGTGATAAAGAGAAGCTGTGTCTAAATTATCTCTTTTCAAAGGGTGTTTAAATGCTGTTATTCAGTACACAGTTAATGGCCACTAGGCAAGAGTGTCTTTATGCTAACAAGAGCAACCAG